AATTAGATTTTTTTGAAATGAAATAATAAAGTATCATAAAATGCTCTACAGTCTGCCCAGAAAGTTCTTTTTTTCTTTTTTCTTTTTAAATTCCACAATTTACAAAAGAGTTAGAAAAAAATATGTTTTTAATCAAAATGCTGTTACTCAAAATATTTAAAAACCTTTATACTTAGACTGAAACATCAAAATTAATTATCAGAACAAGTTTTAATATATATTTATTAATTTGCAATTAAGACAATCCTGGTGATGACACATAGAACGAGTAACRTGGTTGGCCGCCTAGACGTCATGACTTCCAATTTTCCATCACATTAAAAAAAATATTGAAAAAAATTTCACAATAAATTTTACGGATTCCTTCATCCAAAACTAAAGCCTCTTTTCTAGAATCTATATTTCGTGTTAGTGACTTTTTCAATTAATAGTTTTAATTCATGTTAATTATATGTGCGAAATCAATCAATCAGGTCCATRCTCTTCATTATGGACCGGTAATTACCTATTGCCGTATGACTATCAATGATCAACATTGATGACGCCAACATCAAAATTAGTTGTTTATCTCTCGAGCTTTGTAATGTAACATTATTGATCATAATCCTGCCCAATGGGGGGGAGGGGGGGGGGCACAAGGGGCAAAGGAAAGGGGTCGGGAACGACTTGTTTTTGTTTGTGGAGAAAATGATAAATGCCTATCAAGATTTTGTTTGCATATAGATAGGGTAATCCTAGTGCATGCTATAGCCAGCAGGACAAAGTGTCGTACTTGATTTTGAAGTCTATTGCAAAAATAAATTAAAATATTGTCTCTCTGCCATAGGGTTCTATCTTGTGGACTAAAGATACCTCTGAGTAGAACTGAATACAAAATTATTTTTTGTTTCGTCGTCAGGCAACGAAGACATCGTCAATGGCAACATTAAGCTCATCCTCGGCTTAATATGGCGTCTTATCCTCCATTACCAGATCAGTTCTAGTGGCAGTACCTCAGGAAAGCAACTTCTTCTACTCTGGCTGCGTAACGCACTTCCAGACCTCACTATCAAAAACGTCACGACAGACTGGAATAATGGTATCTTGCTGTCCGCGCTCGTAAACTTCTGCCAGCCTGGTCTGATGCCGAACTACAAATCCTTAAACCCTGAGGATAAGTTAAGAAATGTCACACTCGCAATGAAAACAGCAGAAGAAAAACTTAGAATTCCTCAGATTCTGTCACCAGAGGCTTTCGTCAGTCCATACGTTGATGAGCTTAGTATGATGACGTACCTTTCATTTTTCACCCAACCAGGGTCCCCTGGGGAGAGACGTACTCTTGAGATTATCAACGAAGCTGCGCCCAAGGTACATGCTAAGAATTTCAACACAGATTGGAACAGCGGCCAGGCCCTGGGGACTTTCCTGGAATCTCAATGTCCAGGAATTATTCCAGATTATGATCGTTTTGATAGCATGACGGCTGTTCAACGAGGTATGGTATTAACAGACTATGGTTTCCTTATCGAAGCAATCTGATTAGTCTGCTGCTTTTTTCTGCTTCGTGATTGGTTAAAAATGAAAGCTAGTTAATAGAGAGGTTCCGCTATTTTACGATACAAGATACATAAAAAGCGCGCGCGTGCTGTGCAAAGGCATAAGGCACGCGGGGTTTAAAGTGGTAGGAGAAGAACGATAAGTAGGGGGTCTCGGTTGGTCTGCTAATCCCAAAGCGTTTTCTAGAAGCACACAACAAAGAAAGCAACGTTCTAGTATTTCTTTTATAAAACACAAGTTATAATAGTCGTTCTTTTGGGCACGCATAGCGAAAACAAGAGAGTGTGCGCATGCAGTGCTGTGTATTCTCATAAATTAAAGCACGCGGCCCAACCAATCAGAAAACCAGACTTCCTATAATGCATGCGCAATGTGCGGGGACGAATGAGTTGATGGTGTTATTATCATCGACAGCTGACAAGGGCCTCAAAGCAGCCGAAGAAAAACTAGGAGTCAAAAAGGTCTTGACAGGAAAAGAAATGACAAGCCCTAACGTAGACGAGCTGAGTGTGATGGCCTACATGTTGCAGTTCCGTAACTGCGAACGAATGACGAGCCACGCCCGAGCATTCACGGCCGAAGGGCCTGGACTAAGACGAGCCATCAGAGGCAGAATATCCGAGTTTCAAGTGTTTGGACGAAGAGAATTGGGACTGGATAATGTAAAAGTCGAGGCGACAGGACCAGATGGTAAAGACGTGCCAGTGACTGTGCGCCAAACTCTTGGTGAGTTGTCAGTGTATTTTATAAGGCAAAAGGTTTCTGATTATCTTTTGAGCTTCTGAAAGGCGAATAGACTGATTTAGCTCGGGTGTAATGTTGTCCCATTTCAGACCACATGCCACTCTTTTGAGAATAAGATTCTTTGTTTGATTTGTATTTGTATTCATATGACTTCTCGGGCGCRACCGTTAAACAAAGAAATAGTACTCTAGGGAACTACAGGTTGTAATGGGAAAACAATATGTCCAAGCTGGAAGGATCTGTTGGCTTGAATCCATTGGACAAAAAATCAAAAGAACTGCGATATTCCGCAAGCGTTTAGCTCCTTTCCAGTCCTGCCCTGGACTTTTGGGAAGATTAGTGATATAGTTTTTTTAACATGACTTTTAGATGGACTTAAGTGTCACTACATAGCCCACGACACTGGAGCCCATCAAGTGGCCATTACCCACGTTGGAAAACACATTCCTTCAAGTCCATACCGCGTTGAAACTGTGGAAGACGTCAGTGAAACAATGGTATCAGGACAAGGACTTAAAAACGCCATCGTGATGAAACCTGCAGAGTTTATAATCAGGATGTCAAGTCCAACGTCAGACCTAGTGACAGCAGTGGCTGAAGCACCCAATGGGTTAGTACACTACTACTGCACATGCTCGCCTAGACTTGGGCCTCAGAGCCAGCCTGCGTTGTTTTTGGCCAGCTCCGTAATTCAGTATTATGCAACCAGAAAATACGGTATYGATCGAGTGCGCATTTTTTGAATAATTGTCGTGTTACTCAAAGTCTATCTTCCTTTCTCCTTCCCTTACTYCCTCTCTCCCTCTCTTTCATTCCTTCTAAATTATTTTCACTTTTAGCGTATAAGAGTTAGGTCTGGTAAGGGACATCGTGTCCTCTTGCGTTAAGCCCAAATGGTAAAATCAGTTTTTTTTACTGTGCGAGAATTAAGACGAGAATCCAGATATTTCTAGTTTTCAATCATTCCCAAGAGAATTAAATAACAAAAGATACGGTGGATATGGGATGATATAATGAAAGAGATTAATGACAAATCTGTTGTTAAATCCATCCAACATTGCGCCTGTGAAAAAAAAAAACATTGATTGTGACGTAAACATTTCCGTTTCCGAACTTATTTCAGACAAACCGTGCCAATCGAGGTAATAAAGCAGTACGATGGAAGCTACCGGGCAAGGTTCATTGCCAGAGATGTTGGTGAACACAAGATATCCGTCATGGTTGGATCTACTACTCTTCCGGGTTGTCCGTTTGTTTCCAAAGTTGGTGATCCTACTAAAGTTCTCTTGACTCCTCAAGGTAAAGTCGCATTTATCACTCAAGACTTCTTTACACCCCAAGACGTGCCCTAAGACTCTTGGCGYCTGCTGGACTGAGTTTTTGTTATTCGAGCGCAGCGCGCAAGCGACAGAGTAGCGARAGGTAAAGTTAGTTGCGCTCCAGAAAAACATTGTGTGAGGTGGAGTTTGCAAAAGTTTGATAAACCCCTAGTGGCAATTACCAATCCTTGTCTCAAAACAAATACATGAGAAATGAAGTAGGGATTAAGTGCAAAGGGTCTATGCCCTCAGTTCTTAGGCCCAATACTAACTCTGAAATGAAAGAATGGCCAAGGTTTGGGCAGTTACTGGTCACGCGAGGACCTAGCCTTGGTGTTTAAACATATTGTTATCTTCACAGACGGAGGTACCGCACCTCAGATGGGCAAGCCAGTAACGTTCGAGGTTGACACAACCCAAGCAGGACTCGGTGAACTTGCCATCAAATGTAAAGGACCTAAGGGTGGCATACCCGTGGATGTACGGGCTACAACCCGCGGAAAATACCTGGTATCGTATACTCCGACCATAGCCGGAGAGTACCTCACACAGTGTACGTTTAATGGTGAAGAAGTCCCATCCAGCCCTAAATCAACTGCGATCGGAGATCCCAATCAGATTGTCGCTCACGGTGAAGGTCTCTATCAAGTTGCTACGGAATCCCAAGGAGAATTCTACATCTCGTTCCGCGGTGCCGCAAAAGAAGGACTGGAGGTGTACGGAGAAGGACCACGYGGACGTTTCCCCGTAGACTTGGTGGAAAACCCGCACGAGAGGGACTCGTACAGCGTGCGATACACTCCTCAGGGCATCGGGCAGCACAAAATCTACGTTCTTTACCAAGGACAAGCCGTGCGCGGCAGTCCATTTTTAGTCAAGGTTGCTGACCCTTCAAAGGTTAAATTGACGCGCAGTCACACGCAGAGTAAAGGTTTTGTGGTCCTTCGCGAGGTGGATATCCCCGTTGAGGTACCAAGAGAGGCAGGTGAAGGGCAGCTTGAAGCAGCAGTCAGGGGTCCTGACCTTGAGATGATTCCATCCTCAGTGACGCAAGAAAGTGATGGATATCATCATATTCGTTTTATGCCACGCAGGGCTGGTCATCATAAGGTGATGGTGAAGTATGGTAGTAAGGAGGTGCCTGATAGCCCTTATGAAATCCGCGTTGGTGATCCATCAAGTATCAAAGTTAAGGAATCTATTCAAACAAGAACTGGATTCAAGACCATGAGTGAGGTGAGACACCGAACCTAAAACTCTGTATACCATTTCCTTGCTAGACTAGATCTCGTATGGGTGGAGAAAAATAATGCATACAGCACGGTCACGATACGGCCAATGATGGCGTCTGTTGGACCAATCGCTGCGCGCGAGATAAATAATTATCCAATTGGAGATAAGCACTTAGAAGATACAGAGAAGACAGGCGTAATTGCCCCAAGTAGTTTGCTACTGATGCCGCAACTTCCTGCAAACACAGGGACCTCACAATTGAGACATCCGAAATAAAACTCAATACTTTATTATTTATTATTTTATATCTGAGTTTCTATCCACACTTCTAGCTCGGGTTCCAAAATTTTCTTCCTTGTGTTTAATATCACGTCTCAATCATTATAAATGATTGCGTTACAGATTGACATTCCAATCGATGTCCCAGACGATGTGGGGGAGATAACTCATTCAGTCAAAGGCCCAAACCTTGAGCACGTTCAGTCTACGATAAACAAAGAGAGAGATGGGCTTCATCATATACGCTTCACTCCGATCCGGTCCGGTCGCTATACCGTAGACGTGCTATGTGCAGGACATCACATTGAAAACAGTCCTATGGTCATGAATGTCCAAGAACCAACTCCTATCAATGTCAAACTTAAAGAATTCGAGAATCAGGTCAGTTCAGTCATTTTGAAAACACCGAAATATCTCCCTATTATGATRGGAAAATCATAATTTGAGGTATAAATACATTAGATACAAAGCATAATATCAAAATAATCTCTGTATATATAATTACCCAGTATTGTACGAAGTAAATCTACCGTTCTTATCAAAAGCTGAAGCGTTACAATTGAAGGAACATATCTAGATATGATATTTCGTTTATCAGTCAAGCACCGTTGTTAATTGTTAAGTAAATAGTAATAAGCAGACCAATTATTTGCACATCCTTGGCATTTATGACTATAAAGAACTATTGAATTTGAGAAGGTATTGGCGTGAATTAAAAACGATTGGTAAAATATGTCCGGAGCTAATTCAAGAAAACTCAATTTTATGTTATACTGTACTTGCGTGATCCAAATAAATCGAAGAATATTAGCAGTATAATGAGTAGACGTAGTGGTACGAACGCCAACATAGGTTTATATTTTCTTAGCTAATTCTTAAAGCTCAATAAGCTCAGAGAATGTACTTCTGTTATTTTCGATTAAATGAGTTTAATTTCTAGTATGTTGAAAGTTCAATCAAAGATTTTCCGTCTACAAGTCTGTTAGTTTTTCAATGTTAGGCATCAATTAACTTAATTATTATGGATACCCTAGTCGAAACAACCTCTGTTCAATCTAAGTCAGGCACGGCTAACTCACAGATCGAACTGGAAGTTAGTCTGTTAGGTTGTGCAGAGGGAGGAAAACATGAGAAAACCTAACGGACCTAACGAGCTCTTCTCACATGAGCCTGAGGCCTCAGAGGTGAAAGGCGTCTAAACTATCCCTATACATGTACCACCCTTAATTGATTCCCATTAGACCAAACTTAGAACTCAACGTTTTATCTATAAATGTGTATTTTGTTCCAGGAAAGGATTAGGTACCACGTCCGCCAACCCCTGGACGTTCCCATGGAGATCCCAGCAGAGGTTAAAGAGGTGTCAGCCGAGGTGACGGGTCCACAACAAGAGCACGTGCTGTCCACATTCTCCAGGGAATCCGATGGCTATCATCACTTGAGGTTCATACCCTACAATAAGGGGACGTACAACGTGAATATAAAGTGCAAAGGAAAGCTTGTCGATGGGAGTCCATTCAAGTACGTTATTTATTACCTGACCTACCTCACCCCCTAAGTAAAATGTCAAACGCTATTTTTTTTACGCGACTTGAAGTTGTGAAAGGCCCATTGGCCCTTTTCTTCAGTCGTTTCATACAAGGCTCGTAATTTACCTATTACGTATGTTCTTATATGATTTCCGAGCCTATCCCACACGGCTTACCGCCTCATCTCTCATGTCAAATGCTAGAGTTGTTTAGTCTGTGTACGGATCCACAACCCCCTCCCCTCCCCTCCCCTCCCCTCCCTTCATTCTACTTTTTCCATTCCTTACTAAGGGGAGTGGTAATAGGAAACGTCTTCAACACACAGACTATATCAGTAAGGAGATAAAGGTATCAAGAGGCCGGGAGGGGGCGCAGTTCTAAAAGAGATGAAACCCCTTAAAGGAAGGATACACGGGTTTAATGGCACAGTGGAATACGTTTCATATTTCATTATGGTGTCATACCTACCAATTCCTAATAAGGCATTCTTCTATTATCAGGATAAACGTCGAAGACCCAAGCAGCACTCTCGTGCGTCTCAGACACTCCGAGGTTGAGGAAACCCAGTACGTGGTTCGCCGTGAACTGGACATTGCCATGGATATCCCAGAAGATCACTGGGAGGTGACGTCTGTGGTGAACGGTCCAGATGATGAGATCATGCCATCGAGTGTTGTCAAGAGTGAAGATGGATATTATCATGTCAAGTTTGTCCCCTATAGACCTGGCACTTACAAGGTATAGAGCATGCTCATGTTACGTCACAACCACCATCTTGGTTGACGATAACAAAGCATTCCTCTTTAGCTTCTCTTGTTAGATCAACCAACATGGCGGCTGTTTAGGGATTATAAATCACATGGTTGCACTCGTTGCACACACTGTACGATAATATTTCATCTTAACTTGTTGTAGACCACTTGCAGCTTGTTGGAATGCACCTCAATTTGGAGGACAATAACAATAGGTTTCCAATTCTCGGGAGATTGAAATTTCTTTTGTTTTGCCCTCCAAATTGAGCTGCTTTGACGTCACATGCATTGCGCCTATTTCCCTTGGACACGGTTTGGTGTTTGCTATAGCTTTGGTCAATTTAGCCGAGCGACCCTCACACCCCTCTCACGGGGATATTAGACCTAGCCACTGATCCTCGTTCTGCCATATCAACCAAATCAAACTCCTACACCAAACAGTGATTAAGCAAATTACAATGACTGCTAGCAACCTACTTGTTGTAGGACTCTCCTTCGCACCCCCTTACAAATCCCATAGCGCATGATTCAGTATCAGGACTCTCCATGATTTTTTAAACACACTGGCAATGATACGGTCACGGTACATGTACATCGGAAAAAAGACATTTGTTCAACCAATCACAGTGCGCATTATTCCTTTCCATCCAATCAGTATACTCAAAACTCCATTCGAATTCAGGTACACGTCCGTTGTGACGGAGAAGCCGTTGAAAACAGCCCATTCCTGATTAAAGTCGGCGAGCCTGAACCAGTCCAGGTGGCGCACGTACGAAACGAGGAGCTTTACTCTGAACGGTTCACAAGAAACGAGGTTGATTTGACGGTGGAGAGCTCCAAGGAGATGGACGAACGACTGTTTAAAGCCAATGTTCTTGCCCCCAATGGTCGAGATGTGCCTTGTAATATGGTACGGGATGTTAATGGACGCCATCATGTCAAGTTTATGCCACAGCGCCCCGGTCAATACAGGGTATGCTTCGTCTGTACGTTACGTTATCACGGCCATATTGGTGGTATTTAACTAACATTCTTTATAGAGCTGTTAAGTTGTAGCGTATTTCCGGGTCCAACTGCTCAAAAAAAAAAAAAAAAAAAAGAAAAAAAGATAANGGAAAGGAAAGGAAAGGAAATAAAAAGGAATGGAAAGGAAAGGAAAGGAAAAAAATGAAATATACGATAAGAAAGGGAAGAGAAGAAAAGGATAGGAAATAAAATGAAATGAAATGAAGGGAAGGGGATGAGATAGGATGGGGTGAGGGAGGAACAAAATGAAAAGTAGGAAAGAATTTTAAAGAAACAAAACGAAATAAAATAAAGAAGGAAAGATAAAAAATGTGAAAAAAAAAACAAAAAACAAATGACGTATTATAGTTTTTGCCCCCCCCCCCCCCCCCCCAAAACAAATGCTTGTTAAACGTATCGAGATTTTGAGATGCGTGTATAAAATGTGTATATTCATTTATTTATTTTATAGAGCTGTTAAGTTGAAAAAAATTTGGGGGTCCAACTGAAGAAAAAAAAAAAAAAAAAAAAGAAAAAAAGATAAATAAATAAATAAAAAAGAAAAGAAAAATTTTCTCAATGATTTAACATTCACCTGAAACAATTAAAATTTTGAACAACAAATCTTGACATGAAGAAAAAGTAAGAAAAATCTTTATAGGACTGATTTTCGTGTGGACCTGGAAGTCGTTTTCCAATACGATTGACGTCACATTTAAAAGCTCTATTAGTTAACACCTTTAATATGGCCGCCACGACTTTGTCAAGGGAGTCACTTTGCAATTAAAAATGAAATTATAAGAATTTTTTACCTCTTTCTTTAGATAATTTTTCCTTCACTTGATAATTTCTTGTACTTACGAGTCTGTCTAAGATTGTGTCATATTTCTCTCCTCCAGGTATTTGTTCGATACAACAACGAGCTGGTCCAGGGTGCGCCTTTTGTTGTGAACGTTGTGGATGACAAGCGTATTGATCTTGAGATTAACGAAGAGACCCAGCGATATGAAGCCTACCAAGAAGTAGACCTGAAGCTAAATGCTCCTGTCAATTCTCGCATGGAGCAGTTTGATGCAAGTGTTTATGATGCGTATGAAGAAGAGGTGCCTTGTGTTATTGCTAGAGGACGTGACAGTAGTCAGTATTTTGTAAGGTAAGGAGAATGGCAATGAATGGGAATGAATCAACGAGAAAGGGTTTTGCACATGTGAAAAATAAATGGGTGGATGGATAAATGAAGGAAGGAAGGAAGGAAGGAAGGAAGAAAGGATGGAAGGATGGAAGGAAGGAAGGAAGGATGGAAGGAAGGAAGGAAGGATGGAAGGAAGGAAGGAAGGAAGGAAGAAAGAAAGAAAGGAAGGAATGGATAGATGGTGAGATGGTGATACGAGATGGATATCGATAGGGTGGATAGGTTGGATGGATGGAAAAAAGGGCTCTGACCTGTGAAAAAACGACGAGGAACCGGGATAAAATTAGTGAAAAAAAACATGTTAATATGTCAATAAACAGAAAAGATTAAATAAAAGGAATAAATAAATGAGAGAATTGGAAAAGATTAACGAAATTAAACTAATAATTGTAAAAAGAACTGTAAAAGTAAACGCCAATAAAGTAAATCCATCGATCCATTCATACTGAAAAACTGGGTAAGTGATGTGTTGTCATTTTCACCATCGTAGGTTTGTACCCAAGACTGCCGGCGCACACAAGATGCACTTGAACTACGATGGGCAAGCAACTGAGGGATCACCTTACATCATTAATATACTCGAAGGCAGGATGACGGCTGAACAGGAAGCACAGAGAGTTGTTGCTTCAGGATCAGGAATAAAGAAAGGTTGGTTGATGATGATTTAGGTAATATACATCTAGAATATGATGATGATGATGTTTGGATGTTATGCAGATGATGGGGATGAAGATGTTGATGATGATGATGATGATAATAATAACCATGATAATCATGAGATATTCATGATGATATTGATGATGATGATCATATAAAGATGATGGGGAATAAGATGATGATTATGGTGTTGTTGATGATGATGGTGATGGTCATGATGGTGATGGTCATAATCATTATTGGATATTATTAAAATGATGGAAATGAAGATGATTGATGGTGATGATGATGATGGTGATGGTAGTGGTGATAATACTGATGATGGTTGTAGGGATCATGATGATTATGATGATGATTGTAATAAATAATAGGGTGATGATGAATATTAAAATGATGATAATAACGCTTTTTCCAATATCATAATTCTAAGTTTGTCTCCTATTTTTCTCACCCAGGTTTGGTGAATGAACGATCCCAGTTCACAGTTGACTCGAGTGAAGTCAACGGTGAAGGTGAACTAACAGGCAAGATGGTCAGCATAAACGGGTCCACAGACGTGGAGGTCCAAAAACGCAGCAATTACATGTACAACTGCTCATATATGGCACAAAGTGCTGGTGCATACAAAATGCATATGTACTGGAATGGCTATGACATTAAGAACAGGTACTGGTACATGCAAATAGCTTGTAGGGGCTAGAGAGCAAGATTTCCCAGCTGGGGGTGACTGGAGTGGATTCTGTCGCTATTATAAGGACAAAACACACATATATATATTATAACCAGTTGAGAAGGAAGCCGTAGATGGCCCTTAGGACTCCCTTTCAACATCCATGTTTTACGGTCTTTTTTTTTCAAGCCTCGACTGAACCGACTCTCAAAAACTATCTTGATAATTATATTTAGAGATGGCCACTTAAATTATGCTCCAGTGTCGCTACGTATATTCTCACCTGCAACTGTTCCTGATTCTTCCACAGCCCCTTCAAAGTCGATGTCCACGACTCACTATCAACATCTAAAAGCCATTGTAAAGTCCAGGGCGAAGCTCTGAGTGAGCATGGAGCATACGTCAACCAATGGATGAAATTCTGGGTCGACACCAACGGTCAAGGTGAAGGTCCACTGTACGTGCGCTGCTGCGGACCGACTAAAGACTGCGATGTTAAGATCTATGACAACCAAGATGGTACTTATGACCTACAGATCTACCCCACTGAGGTCGGCACGCATGAGCTTCACGTGTCTTGGGGCAGGAGAGTAGTTTATGGCAGCCCGTTCCTGATTCGCGTCGGTCAGGAACCAGATCCCAGCCAGGTCTATGCTTATGGGCCTGGTCTAGAAAATGGCATTTTGGAGTCATTCCAAGGGAACTTCCTCGTGGAGACCAAAGGCGCAGGACCCGGGACGCTCAAGATTCGTATCCATGGACCCAAAGGTGCCTTCAAAGTCGAAATGTACCGAGATCACACCAAAGAACGACGCATTGGCGTGCGGTATAATCCTAATGAACCTGGAAGGTATACAGTCAATGTCAAGTGGGCAGACCAACATATCCCTGGAAGTCCATACGAGGTGCACGTGGTAGAGACAGAACAGGAATATGAGGCTTTGAGTGAATTAAATGACAACGTAGTGGTGCATCGACCTAATGATCAATCAGATAGTTATTAGTTACTTCATAAATACTTTTTAAGTAGTTGTTAAATAACATGCTCATGCCTCGCAGTATTCGCTAGAAGAGACTAGTTTCTGTGTTGACTTAATTGTCATAATTGGTATTTTGGTATATACAACTCTGTCTGCTGAATGCTTTCTCTCAACTAAGAAATTTTTCTCTCAAAAGATTTAAAGTAAGGACAAATTTGACACGTGACTTGAAGTTAATTGAATTGATACATGCAAGCAGTCATTATTCAATAGAGACCTTTAAATATTATAAAAATGCAATTGGACCACAGGAATGATACATTCCTCGAGTTTAACGAATCAGAAATGCTGATAAAAAGTTTTCATAGATTAACCAATACAAAAGGATGTACCATTCGTTAGCAATTATGACGTCATTTATCGTGAAAAACGGTAGAATTATCAGCTTTGATTATATCCTCGAAAAGAGGTCGGAACCTGGATATTCAGTTTYTCAACACGTCGACATTCCAGGTTTCTGGCCTTGATTTAGGTTTTTAGGTGAGATTGCATGAATAACGTCCCAGTAATTTCATGTTTGTGAGTTAATTCGAGCCACTAATTTTAATGAATTTTGAATGATGTTGCTGGTACGATCATTCATTTTTAACGTTGATTCATCCATAATGTATTGTCAAGGCATTGATAAATATTCAAGGCCAATGGGTATGTGAATAAGAGGGGCTGATCCCCTTTGGGCCACACCCATTTACCCCTTGGACCATAGCTATCGACTTTGTAGGGCCTCTCTTTACTCACTCAATACATTATATGCAACTGAAGGTAACATTTGCTTTTATATAAAAACTATTGCAGTATTTCAATTAGTATTAAAGAATAATATGTTACTCTTTCGATATATTTTTCCCAAAAAAATAAAAGTGYATATATACACACTTAAATTCTCCAACAAAACTGGGGAGTTTAATTTTTCTTTTGAAAAATCTAAAAATGCAGTTCCTATAATTATTCTCATTTATATTTACAGGATTAATACATTCTTCTAGTGGAGTACATATTAATAATTTCGTTATTCCATAATAAGTACAAGGATATTTATAAGTGCTAAGACAGATATTTTAAAAGTTGTTAAATTTTAAAAAGTAGAAAATAGAATGGCCAGTATTTAACCAAAATATTTGGAAACGGTCGTACGCGTAATTATGTGTATTTTTGTGGAAATAAAGTATAAGTGACAAAAGTATCGCATTTTTAGTGTTATAATTTAAAGATTAAATCAAGAATAAAGGCGAACATTTTGAAGTCAGGGATAGCAGGAGTTGTAGCCCGAGTGAACGATTTCATTACTCGGGCTACCTGTCTAGCCTCTATATTTTAAAAAGAGTAAGCTCCGAAGCTCAGTCTGCTTCTTTTCAGAGGGTAAAAAACAAGCAAACATCTATTTTTCATTTCATATCTTCTTTTCATTTTTTAACTTTCCTTCGTTGTTCTTCTCAATGAACAAAAATTATTATTTTCAGAAGCGTCTATCCTGACCGATAGAAAGGTTAACAAAACCTGACTCTTGAAATGGAATAAAAATTTAACGAATAAACTTTGAAATATACGGTTTGATCGATTTTTACAATGATGTTAATATTTTAACTTGATTTTGCCAAGATGGTCGCTACTAGAAGGTGGTCGCCTATAAAGAAACGGGCGCTCGCTGTTGGAAGTTTATAGAACAATGCAGAGACTGGGTTCTAGATAGTGGTAGTAACGCCTGTCACAAATTAACTGCTTCTCTCATTCTCGGCTTCTTTGTCATCAAAACTTCACCTGAAAATGTATTAATATTCCTACAAGAAAATATTCTATACTCAAATATTACCAGCATTTTGATAGAAAATTTGCTATTTAATAGTTTTGGCTAGTTTTTCTTATTTTTTAAATATCAATGGAGGTAAAATCTAGCAAGATTTGGCACGTGTTGCTAATGTTGGTGTTCAAGATGGCTTCTCTTGTGGACGCTCAAGACGTGGTAGGATGTGGAGGGTTTATTCAGTCTGATGTGGAAATAAATTACTCTCTTATTGAGGTATGACTTTAGTGCTATGTTTTCTATTAATTGCAGTGTCTTAATCAGCTGTTTGTTTAAGAACGCCGTCATARATCAGAGAGCAAGTTGAAGTCTGTAGAAATTTCACACTCGTTATCTTTTTATATCTTTTTATAGGGAAGAATTTTATGGAATATTTTATATTTCTGCTATTTAGACGTCATGCTATTTCGAATTTTCTATACCTACTTGTCTGATTTCTATATCAACTCAATTTTCTCATTTGGATATTACCACACCAGAGTATGTTTGGTTGCCTCCGTAGGCTACTCAACCATGACTTACTCAACAGTTGAGAAATTATGCTCATTATAAATTGAATAAATGCTGTTGAATTTTCAGGTCAAACTATACTCAAAGCAAGGAATTATGAAGTACAAAACAGAATGTGCTCCAAATAATGGATATTTTCTAATTCCCCTTTATGACAAGGTAAACATAGGATGTTGATTGTATGACCTACATGTAACTTTATTGAAACTTTATTCAAATTCAAATATATGAAAATACATGACTGATATTAGAAAAGGTGGACCTTGAGGTTAACCCTATATACAAGTACCCTTGTCGTGTGGGTGGATGCATGTAAGTCATGTATCATGAGAATATGTAAAAGTATTATTTTTCGTTATTAAATTGCATACATAATAATACAATCAGAAAAGCCAAATAGGTCAGCCATTTTTATTTCTTTTACAGGGCTTTTCCTCGACTTTCCTCTCCTCCTAATAATAATTAAAAGTTCAGTATTAATTAATTTAATACATTTTATACATTATTACAGGGTACATTTATCTTGAAGATTGAGCCACCATCAGGATGGAGCTTTGGTAAGATAAAGAAAATATTTAGATATTCATGTAGTCTTCCTCACTCCCTGACACCCAACAAGCTTAATCCCAGATTGGTCTGTTAGTTAACTGTGCCCTGTTCTAGATACGCCCAGAGGTTGTTTCAGGGTTCAATCTGTGAGTTGCCATGCTCTGACTTAAATCAGCCCAGAGTTTGTTTCAGGGTTAGATCCAGTTAGCTGTGTCCTGACTTAGATCAGCTCGGAGGTTGTTTAAGGGTTCAATCTGTGAGTTAGCCATGTCCTGACTTTTATCAGCCCAGAATTTTTTTTCAGGATCCAATCTATGAGTTAGCTGTGTCCTGACTTACATGTGGATCATCCCAGAGGTTGTTTCACTCATATTGATAAGATTTAAATTTTGTTTTCTTATATCTTGGATGTATGTTTATATAGATGTCTGTGTGTTTCAGAGCCCAGTAGTGTAGAACTGAACATTGATGGTACCACAGACAAGTGCAGTAAAGGACAAGATATCAATTTTGTATTTACTGGTTTTTCTCTGAATGGAAAGGTATGTCATACAGAACTACAGTCTACATAGTTAACTAGCCAAACAAATTCATGTAACCTCAATAATCCATATAAGAGATAAAGAGCATGTTCACGTTTGGTTCCTGAGCACAGTCCTTGAGAGTACAGATTTTGTTGGGCACTAATATGAATGCAGCTAATTTTTAAGTACCCATGCCAAAATTCAGGGATGGGTGCTGAAAATTTGTGAAATGTTTGTGAAATGTCTAATAAAGTATGTATGTGTGTACAAGGTTGTATTTAGACACCAAGTGTTGTAGCACTATAAGTGACACGCTTAAAGATATTAGGCCTAAGATCATTTTAGTTATAAAAGTTCAGTGTCTAAGTCCAAATGAAGCTACCTTTTTAATCTATAACTTTTTTTGTTTCTAATATCCATAGGTATTAAGTAAAGGCCGCAAGGAAGGGCCATCTGGAGTGGAAATTACATTAAGCAATAAAGGTTTGTAGTCAAGCAAAGATTTTTTKTGTGTGTGAAACAATGAAGTGAACATTGATGACTCAAAAATTTGATGATTTTAGGTGATGAGAGGAAAACAACCACAGCAGAAGGAGGAATGTAAGTATACACAGTAAACAACGATATTGTTGCTAATGATAATCTGAAATTCATATCCTTGTTTTCTTGTATCCTTTAACATTATCCCTATATTCTCTTCCTCCAATTGCTTCTCACTGCTCCAGTCATGAATCCTCTTTCATTCAAATTTGTCCCTATTCTTTTTACAGTGTGAATTGAAAAAGCGTGGGCACCTAGAAATATTTCAAGAATATTTAATAGCCAATCAGAAGCRTTATTGTTATCTTTCCTTTTATCTTGTGGTTAGAAAGTCAAGTCTGATTGGTCAAAGAAGAATTTTTAAATTTGCACTGTAACCAGCTATTTGTACACCGGTCTTTACTTTCATCTGTATCCTAATCCCATTGTAATCCCAATTCTATCCCATTTTTTGTCCCTTATTCTTGTTCTCCTCATGATAATCATTACAAACTTGTTTGTTTTTGATATGTTTTCAGATTTATCTTTACTCGAGTCATGCCAGGAACATATCAAGTAAAAGCATCCCACAGCACTTGGAAATTTGATAAAGTAAGATTGCTAGTGGGATACCTGTGTTCATTATAAAATCTCAGTCTAATGAACTGATTACGAAAAAGCAGGGGGGGGGGGGGTAGAGTGAGGTTAGGTGGCAATTTAGTTATAATACAATAGACCCCTTGCATTGGATTCCTAGAGGAATTGTTCTGGGGGACAAAGCAATAGGCTGTCTTTTCTTATGCAAAAAAAAATCCATTGTTTTGTCCCCCAGAACAATTCCTCTAGGGACTCAGTGCAAAGGGTCTATACTCTACTTTTTCTTTTTTGAATTTTGGAACTTTTTGCACATATGCCTGATATTGGGGTACCTGTGGCACAGAAAGCCCAACACCTAATCATGAAGTAGATGATTATTTACTAAACATCAAACTATTAACTTTTCATTAATTTCCCTATCTTTTCATATATATCAGGATGAATCATCAGTGACTGTCAAAGACAGTACGACAGAAATGTCAGACAACCWGATAGTGTCTGGATATGATGTCAARGTAGGTTTAATGCGACAATAATGGGTTACATGTATGAAATATATGAAATATAATGCTTATGCTATCATTGTTTTCTTTAAGGGTCATGTGTTGAATGAAGGCCAACCAATCAAAGGAGTACAATTCCTACTGTTTTCTACAACTGATGCTATAAATGTATGTATGTATGGTATAAAACATCATGTTAGATGTCAGATAACTTATTCTGTTTAGTTAATACCTCTTATCCTTCTTGAAAAATAAATTCATCATCATCATTATCATATACTGTATTATAATTGGTTGAAATAATGAGGTGAAGATTTCAAGAAATTACTAGCCTTGAATTTTGAAAGTTTTTGGATGAAGTTAGACTGGTAAAGATGCTTTTATTTCATTCCTCTTTTCTTTGCTTCTTTCCCTCCTCCTTTCTTTCCCTCCTTCCCTACCTATCTCCATTCACTCCTCACTCCTTCCCAACACTATCCTTCTTTCTCTCATTCTTCCATTGCTCAGTTTCTACTTTCCTTCCTCCTTTCATCTGTTCATTCCTCCCTGCTTTCCTTTTTTCATCCTCACTTCTGACCCTCCCATTCTTCCATATTTCCCWTTTATGATAATAATAATAATACCTAATGGTACAATTATCACTTACATGTGTGCCCTGTCTAAATGATTTATTTAAGGCCATGACTGGTTGCACCCCCATCCTGCCCAGCACTCTTGATAAAGTTCAGTCCAAGATAGACAAAGGTTCTCCATTGTGTATGGTCGATTCAAGAGAAGATGGTTCCTTTGTGTTTCCAAGTGTACCAAGTGGAGACTACATTTTGGTAGGTTTATCATTGTTTTCTTCTTGTGTAGGAATCAAGGTTGTATAGCATTAGTGCGGTATCTGGTGAACTAACGTGATAGACTTTTTAGTATGAATCATTGTTACCTAACATTTTTCCCCTCACATTTCTAGGTTCCATTCTACCAGGGAGAACATATTACATTTGATGTCGTACCAACAAAACTAACCTTTAGTGTAAACTACAAGAGTGTAGTTTTGAAGGTAAGTCACAACGAAATTAAATATCATTGTGTGCATGCCAATAGCCATAACTGCCATTGTCTTGCCCTGCTAGCAGAGTCTTTTTCAATCTGCCCTTTGCTCATCCTTAGGGGGGGGGGGGGGAAATCACCTTTGCTCACAGGGTATCATTAAAGAGCATGTACATATGTAAGAAAGAATAAAATATTGTTAGTAATTTGATAAATAAATGATGACTTTGCTAAAATTCTTGCTGGATAGGTGAATGTAATGTTTATAAACAATGCCATTGGGATAATRATGTGCCAAATTTTGACAATGGGTTTTGTCACTTTGCTTGGAGTGTCTAATAGATTTCTGGTTAGCAATGTAAATAGCAATCAACCAAGACAATTTTCATCATTGTATGCCCACCTATTATGATGAACAGCAACTGTTAGCAGACTGTTTGTATGCTGAAAGTTTTTGTCATTTTTCTTCCAGACTCCATTTCAAGTGCATGGTTTTTCTGTTGTTGGTAAAGTGCTGTCAGTTGGAGGGGAAGGAATCGAAGATGTTGTTATTACAGTGAATGATGCTAAGAAGTCCAAGACTAGTAAGGAAGGGATGTACATCCTGGAAAATATATCTACTGGAACATACAAGATACAGGTACCAGATAAGTATTAATATTTTAATTAGAATACCTCTTGGGTCTTAGGGTTTGATTCCTGGACTCAGCATCACTTATGACATACGGCATGTCTCTGAAAAATCCAAAATGCTTAATTCCTGTCTGTTTTTACTTAGCCTTGTGGTTATTGCAGACAACCTGTACCTTCTTTTCATTTATCTGCCTTGGTATATATACTATAAATAACTGTGTTTTTTAAATACTATTTAGATTTATTTATAAATTATCTATATTGCTGTAAATCCTATAAGAGAGTGGTACAAAAAAAAAGTTGTTCCAATTTATTATGAGTTAGCTATACCCTCACGTAGATCAGCCTAGCTAAAGGTGTCTCAGGGTTTGATCTGTGAGTTAGCT